AAAACATAATAAATGTGTTAAATGTGTATAAACATGACTCAAGTTTCTTGTTAAATGTGTATAAATATGTCTACCTTCATTCGCCATCGCAACCCTCGTTCACAACGTCGCGGCAGATGTTTCAATAGGTTAATGCCCCAACTTTTTCAAAAATATATTATTTCTATGCCTTTGGTTGGAAATGGAAATGTCATGCTGCTGCTATCTGCTGCTATAGTCTTAAATTTCAATTTGTGTTTCATATATGCCTATGTTTGCCACTGAAAATGATGAAACTATGAGCTACATTCTTGCTTTTGTCAACAAGAGATGCACCAGTCATCAATGTGTTTTGTTCCTTCTCAGTGCTTGAGAGTATATTGGGTAGTAAACGAGGTTTAGGGCAGACAATTATCACTATCGCGTATATGATTGAATTTATGTTTCATGTGATGATTTATGATGAAGATGATATTAAAATGCCAGTCTTTTCTAGTGTCAAATGTAATGACAATCATAATGGTAATTCTATTGTCTAGGTTATGCAAATAATCTTTTGTAGTGTCAAATGTAATGACAATCATAATGGTAATTCTATTGTGTAATTGATTTTACTGTTGTTTTTCATGACTTTGTTTTGTTATAATAATAACATGGATAGTAAGACTAAAGAGGTTGCTACACCTGCATTGTGGAAAAAAGATACAAAAATAATATTTTGCGATCTTTGTATTAAAGAGATTGAACGGGGAAATAGGCCTACGACACATTTCAATAAAGAAGGGTAGCAAAATATTATCAAAAATTTCAAGGAATGTACAGGCAGGGAATACGACAGGTTGCAAATGAAGAACAAGTGGGACCAACTGAAAAAAGAATGGAAAATATGGAAGGAATTGAAAAGGGGTTCTACCGATCTTGGTTGGGATCCAGCGAAGCAATAGTTGATGCACCTGATGAATGGTGGGCTGAAAGACTTGGTGAGCTTTGTTTGTAAACTTCTTTATTTTGCAACTTTATATTTTATTCAAATTGAGTGTTTATTAATTTTTGTGTAGGTGGTGTCTCTTGCAAAGAAGTTTAAGCTTTCTAAAATTGAGCCTGAATTGGAGGAGAAACTCGACCGCATGTTTTGGGGAGTGGTTGCAACGGGGAATTATGCATGTAGCCCAAGCGAGACAAAGTTTGTTGGCAATGCCATGAATTTAGGAATCTCTGGAGTTTCAGTTGATTTCATTGACGTCCCCAGCCCAGATCAGAATGAATATGCGTAATATGCATATGAAAGAGCCCCTTAATTTTTTTTAAACATCATATTTCCTATGATATTTCCTATGGTTAAATCTATTCTTTGCGGTGCTAGTCTTGTAAGTAGCAATGTTTAAGTGTTATGTATGCAATTGTCTTTACTTTATGCTGATGGGCAAGATGGTATGTATGTAAATCTTCCTAAAATTAAGTAGTATGGTGGCATAAACTTTGTAAAAATTGAAGTTTAGGTGTTAGATATGTGGATACATAAGAATTAAGTGGCATGTATGTAAATCTTCCTAAAATTTAACGATCGCCTAAGTGGAGGTCATGATTGTCTTGTTCAAAGAATTTCACCAATGAACCTCTTATAATTTTGCTACAGCTCCTTTATAAGTTTCACCATTGCTTCTCTCTATCTTCTCTCATACTTTTCTACTTTAGTTTTCCTCTTCATGGTTCTCTCTGATGTGAAACTCACCATCAAAGGATTGTTTTATAGGGTTTCACATAGGACGTAATGCAATGTTGTTTTGCTGCAATGGTACTGGAGCAACTAAGGGCTCTGAAAATTAGTCATTATTATTTCCAAGAATTTTGTTTTGGATTGGGCAATGCCAATGAAATCCATCATGGATGAAATTCATTGCAATGTTGAGCAGGATTCCTTTTGATGGTGCTTCAGAGATGTATGCTATTAAGCTGGATTTGTGAAGCATTCATCTTGATTTGTGAAAAGTTATTACATATAATTTATATTTATGTTCGGTTCGGCGTTTTTAAGATATATCTATCTTATAGACAAAAATATACTTTTAGAATATTTCTTTAATTTGTATTTATTACAATACAATTTAATACATAAAATTACTCTATATAATAATTGATTTCAGAGATATATACATAAAATTGTGTTCCATATACTTTTTTATTCTTATACAGAAGCTGTTAACACTTTGGGGGCCTACTGAAGTTCCAAAAATATGATTGTTATACTCTTTTTTTAAACAGTTTTATCAAACAAGGGCGGTATAGTCTTTTTTTCATAAACAACTGCCTGACAGTTAGTTTCACACAGTTGCACTAAACAGACAACCAACTTTCCCGCAACTGCTTCCTCGCAGCAACTTCCTAGGGCAGCGCAGCTGCAGCTGAAAAGCTGAGAAGCTGCAACTGCACCAAATAGAACCTAAGAGAATAATTTGTGATGCTAAAAATTCTGTTTTCAGTGTTCTTTATAATAAATTAGATACTAAAGAAGGTGAAATATACATATATATATATATATATATATATATATGCTAGCCAAACAAAGAGAAAAGAAAAGCAAAATTTATTTCAAGTAAAATCTATTAAAGATGAAAATCAAAGTGTTTTTCTTAGAGAAAAACACTCAACATGTGTCAGTGAGCTATTCTGATTAACTTTTCACTAGAGATACTAAAAGTACGATAGATCTTAGTGAATTTAACATTATTAATAATAATAAAACATTTATTTTTAATGTTGCATTAGTAAAAGAAAGTTAAGGAGGCTTAAAGAAAATCAAGAGTGAAAAATCAATAGGACCAGATCATATCTCAATTAAAGTTTGGAAATATTTAGGAGATTAGGGAGTTTCTTGGTTTAGTAAACTCTTTAAAATTATTTTAAAAACTAAAAAGATGTCTAAGAAGTGGAGGAAGCGTATTTTGGTCCCCATTTTTAAGAATAAAGGGATGCACAAGAGTGTACAAATTAAAGAGGAATTAATTTGATATGTCGTGCGTTAAAATTATATTAGAGAATAATTAAACATAGATTAAGGGATGACACAAAGAATTTTCATAATCAGTTTGGATTTATGTTAAGCAGCTCTACTATAAAAGTTATAAATTTATTGAGAGGCTTGAAGAAGAATGGTAGAGAGAATAAGAAGGATTCACATATGATTTTTAATGATTTAGAAAAAGCTTGCCATAAAGTTCCATGAGATGTACTTTGGAGAGTTCTAAAAAAGAAAGATGTGGATATGACTTATATTCAAGTCATTAATGATATGTATGCTAGAGTTGTTACTTGAGTTCGAATAGGAGGATTGACCAAATATTTTCCAATTTTAGTTGGATTACATTAGGGATCGTCTTTAAGCCCATAACTATTTTCTTTAATTATGGATGCTCTTACTAGACAAGTACAAGAGGATGTACCTTGGTGTATACTTTTCATTGATGATATCTTTCTTGTGGATAAGACTAGAGAAAGAGTTCAGGAAAACCTTGAATTATAGAGGTCTACATTGGAGTCTAAAGGCCTTTGTTTTAGTAGATCTAAAATAGAATGCATGAAAAAAAAATTCAGTAGTAGTAGCTCTAGTGACAAAGATGTAACTATGGGTGATCAAATCATTAAAAAGTGTGATGGTTTTAGAAATTTTGGGTCTATAGTTCAAAGTGATGGTGATATATATGGGGATGTTATTAGTAGAATTCAAGTGGGTTGTTTGAAGTGGAGGAAGGGTTGTTTGAAGTGGAGGAAGTGGGTTGTTTGAAGTGGAGGAATAAATCGAGCATGTTTTGTGATAGAAAAGTACCACATAGACTGAAAGAAAAATTTTATAAGATGGTGGTGAGACCTACAATGCTCTATGACGCAGAATGTTGGCCTTTAAAATAGAAGCATAAAACAAAGCTCAACATTATTGAAATGAGAATGCTTAGGTGGATAAGTGGCTTGACACATAGAGACAAAATCTGAAATGAATATATCCGTCATAGGATTGGTGTAGCTCCAATGGTAAAAAAGATTAGAGAAAATTGTCTTAGATGGTTTGATCACATTAAATGCCAACCAACTGATGATCCTCTTAGGAGAGTATATGTTTTTTATTCAACTTATCCTAAAAAAGCAAACATAGACCTAAGAAGGCTTGGGCATATTGTATAAATGATCTTAATCTATTGCAATTAAATGAAAATATGACACCCAACAAGACTCAATGGAGAAAAAGAATTCATGTAGCCCACCCCACATAGCGGGATAAAGGCTTGTTGTCGTTGTTATTGTTGTTGTTGTTATTGTTATATTTATTTATTCCGATTATTATAATTTATGGGCTGGAGACACTCGAGCTAATTGCGATTAATATTCCAAAATTTAACTTTATTTTCTAGTTTCATCGGTTGTTGCTAACAAAGTTGGGCATCAGTTGTTTTCTTAGATTTCGCTTGGGACCACTTTTGATTTTTGTTTTTTTTTTCTGTTTTTATCTTTATTTTTTTTTTTGTTTCGATTTAAAACAAAACAACTTTGGTTTAATATAACATGTTTATTTTTTTTTTTAATACACTCAAAAAATATCAAAAAATAAAAACATGCAAAAAAATGTAATAAACAAGCATGTTTTTTTTTGTTAATAAAACAAAAGGAAAAACAAGAGTGGTCTCAAATAGACCCTTAGTTCTTGCTATTACCTAGAATTGTGTCTTTCCATAAATAAAGTATTTTCAATCATTTGTTAAGCGTCATCCATTGAAGGATGTAAGGATCTCTTAAACAAGCAGTCATTTCTATATCTTCACATAAATTCAAGAATGTAAGCTAAGGTGGAAAGATTGAAACCCACAATGCCCTCTCAATGTGATTATATTAATAACACTCAATGATCACAACATTAAGCAATGAAAAAGAAACATAACCCCCACATCGCTTTGCAGATGTTGAAATGAACAAATACTGAAAGTAGGTGAGTTGCAAATGCAAATTGCAATGTATAATGGAAGAAGGACCACCTCGGGCTCGGCATGCAGTGGTTCCTTAAGTCCTGCTTTTATGGCATCAATAATTTCCTGTGAATCAATCTGAAACTCAGCTTCTCCAACTCCTTCGCCATGCACTTTCTTTGGAACACAAGCAACAATAGCTGCAGGAAGTGGTGCAGTAGACTTTCCAAAGTCAGAAATGAATTCCAACACCTCCGCACCAGTAGAATTAACCTGCAAGATGAAATTAACAATTATACATATAGCAAAGGCTCCAAGGTGAAAATTTTTTTTCACCAGGGAGATTTAACAGCCAGAAAACAATAAAAAAAGAAAGCTCCACAAAAGTTACTTCTTCTAAAGTAACAGTTTCAGCAACTGCAACTAAGCATTCATGGCCCTGCCTTTGATCCATAACTGTATGGCGAAGTGCATCACTCTCCATAATAAAATCCAAGTTATCAACAGAAGGAACACTATCAATCATTGCAGCTAACTGTTCACTATCTTTGATCAGTGCATCCATATAGCGAGTTAGTTCTCCTTTTGTTACACCAAACTTTTTAAGCCTGCAGACCTGTCAAGAAACAGTTTGATTAGAGACAAACAGAGGGGGAAAAAAATTATACATTAAGAAGCATTCAAGAGAATGTTGCAAACATACTAATGATTAAAATATACAGACAAAAATAAGTAGGAAAAAAAAACTATTGAAGGAATCAAACTAAAAGCATTTATAGAACTTTCCCAACAACAACAACAACAACAACAACAAAGCCTTAATCCCACTACGTGAGGTCGGCTACATGAATCCTTTTTCTCCATTGCGTCCTATTTAGTGTCATATTTTCATTTAGTTCTAGTAAATTAAGATCATTTTTAATACAATAAGCCCAAGTCTTCCTAGGTCTACCTCTGCCTTTCTTAACACAAGTCGAATTTAAAACATCTACTCTCCTAATCGGATCATCTAATGGTCGACGTTTAATATGACCAAACCATCTAAGGCGATTTTCTCTAATTTTGTCTGTCACAGGAGCTACACCAACCCTATCACGAATATATTCATTCCGCATTTTGTCTCTAAGTGTAAAGCCACTCATCCACCTAATCATTCTCATCTCGGCAACACTTAACTTATTATTATGCTTCTCTTTTAAAGGCCAACATTCAGCGCCATAGAGCATTGCAGGTCTCACCACCATCTTATAAAATTTTCCTTTCAGTCTTAGCGGTACTTTTCTATCACACAAAAGGCCCGAAGCATTCCTCCACTTCAACCAACCAACTTGAATTCTACTATTAACATCCCCATCTATATCACCATCGCTTTGGACAACGGACCCAAGATATCTAAATCGTTCACACCTTTTAATAATTTGATCACCCAAAGTAACACTTCTGTCACTAGAGCTATTAATACTAAAATTACATTCCATGTATT